GGGGGTGGGGGTGGGGGTGGGGCCCCCGGCCCGGCCAGGCGCCGAGCGCGAGGTCCCTCGGCCGAAGGTCTTACTTAGGAAACCCCGGCAACTGGACCGGCCCGTGGCTCACGGGGGAGCGTAGTGCTGCCAACGCCAAGGGTTAAGATCCCCTTACCAGTCATCTTGAAAAAAAAAAAAGAAAAGAAAAGAAAACCCCAACAACAATAAGGATTCCGCCTCCTCGCTCCTCCCTCTCTCGGGTTTAGCGGGGGTTCGCCTCGCGCTCACTTCACACTCCCACCGCTCTCCCGAGTCAGGGAGGTTGGGCCCGAGCTGGGAGGTGGGCCACTGTGGTCCTGCAGGTTGGGGGTGGGCAGGATGGAAGTGGCATTGTGGCATACTCCCACGGACTCCCCGTTGGGGTCCCCAAGGTCCAGGCCTGGACGTTTTGTGCTCCTCACCCAGAAGGCAGGAGGTTTGCTGTTTAAAGAGCTGCCCTTATCTGGGGAAGGAAATGGTAAGCTTCACCTGGTGGCTGCCCTGGGGCGCACTCCGGCCTTGGCTTGAGTGTCTGACAGACTGGCTGTGCCCGTGTATTTGAGTGTGGAGCCAAGAGGGAGGGGAGGGAAGCTGGGGGAAAGAGCTTGCCGCAAAAAAGTGCTTAACAGAACAAAGTTGCTGCAGGCTCTGGTTAGAGGCAGGTTATGAAACCACATCAGGGGCTGGTGCTGGCAGCCACCTGCCAGCTATAGCAGCAGAACTTTTCCGTCTCAGCTGCTATCCACCTCCTCTACCTCTGCCAGCCTCTTCGTCCTGTTTCTCCACTTCTAGGAGAAAGGTCAGTTGGTTATTTTACTTATGGAAGTGAAGTGAGCCCGTAGTCGCAAGAAAGTTTCAAGGGTGTTTCTTGGCTGTCAGTCTTTTTCTTAGTTTATTGATCTCTCCTGTCTTTTGTGGGGGGTGGTCTCCTGGGGTTTTCTGCTCTTAGGGCACTTCGTGTTCAGGCTCCAGGAAGATCTTGTGATCTGGGATTTAACAAAGTCTTGGCATTCCTGGACAAAATACGGGGGAGGGCTAGAGATCTTTCTACACCTACACCACTGTAAGTCTGGGTTATGGAGAAGGGGGCAGCAGTTTCTGGTCAGACTTGGGGAACTCTTTGCCTCTCCTTAGTCAGTGGTAGGTCCTTCAGAGCCCTCACTTCCCAGTCGGACGCTCTCTCGCTCTCTCGCTGCCAATGGAGGCTTTTACCTTTTACATAGTAGGTATCCCAGGGGCTGTGTTGGGTAACTGAGGCTCCAAGGCCCTGGGAAGGTAAACAACTGAGCCAGTAAGGGTTTTCTTGTTCCTTGGGTCTCTGTTAGGTCCAATTATCCAGCCTAATGGGCTAGGCTGATGGGCCCCAGGAGCATCACTTCAAGTTTGCACCCCAGGCCAGCTCATGTATGTTTGCTTGTGGGGAAGATGTGTTGTAGGTCACATTTCCCCTGAGGTCTTTAAGCTTGGAGCTGTCTGAGAAGAGGAAACTTGCTCCCATTATCCTGGAAATAAGGAACTGACCCCTGAGAATACTGGCTCCTGTGCAGGCTTAGCTAGGATCCTAGCCAAGGATAGATAGCATCTGAGTCTGAGGGGGTTGGCTGCAGCAGGGTGCAGGGGGTGGCCTTCTGGACATTTCCAGAATATGTCCATCTGGGACTCCTTTTTGCATTCCCCAGGAAAGATGGGGCTGTTACTATGGTGATGACCTTAGGGTCTTTAGCAGGCAGGACCTCAGGTACGGAGGTGAGCCAGTATACAAGTACCATCTGTTTCTACTTTTTGCTGGTCACAGGGCCCTCAGGGATCTGGGGACAGCCAAGCTCTGCGCAAAGGACAGATCATTCCCCTCCTTAGCTTCTCTGCTTCCTTCTCTCTGCCCATTCTGGGTTGCTGCCACCATTGTTTCCTGGGCTTCCAGGACAGCCCTCCTGGTTCCTCCTGCTGCAGCACTTCTACCATTGGAGCTGGGCAGAAAAAGGTGCTGGGAAAGGGGAGACGGAGGTCTGGATGGGCAAGGCAGAGAAGAAATGGGGCAGGAGGGAGGCCACCGGTATGGTTTTGTGTCCTTGGGAGGGGTATATTGACGTGGGTTCTAGATGTGCATGGGAGCTGTAGGTGTTTGGCCACGTTCTCTATCCTTGCCTCTCCTCTGGTGGGGTAAAGGGCAGTGGTGGTTTGGCAACAAAGTGGGTGGCATCACAAGGGTTAGCCTGAGTGGCTGCCAAATTGATAAAACATCTGGATGGTTGTTTTTTGTCACCAAGAGGGAGCTTTCCAGGTCTAGACAAAGGTTGTCCCTAGCCTGTTGTTTTCTCCTTTCTTCCTCCCTCCCTCTTTCTGCCGGTCCTCCTGGGTTAGGTTGGGGGAGACCCAGGATTGGAAAGTTAGGGGAGGTGGGTGGAAGTAGTGACCCCCAAATATTTCATCCACTGCTGTCTGTGCCCACAGGCCTCACCTCCTTTTACTCTTTATGGGCTTAAGAGTAGGAGGTGTCCCATGTCAGCCTCAGTGAGACACAGTCCAGCAGGGGTTACACTGAGTGAGAATTCCTAGTGGGGAAGAGTGCCCTCGTGGGAATGCTATAGGGGGTGAGATTGGGGGATGGGCATTGACTTCTCAGCTCTGGGGCTGAGTGCCTCTTGATGACCTGTCCCCCAGGCACTGCCATGTCTGATGGGGTGATGTGTGGGGCAGCCTGGTATTTATCCCAGCCCAGCAGCAGGAAATGAATAGAGCTAAGTCCACATGGACTTTCTCCAGCCTCCATGCTTGAGAATTAGAACAGTGGAACTGCCTGGGGTTGTCAGGGAAAGGAGAGCCTGCCTCTCTTTGGGATTTGGAGTGTGAGGGGCAGGGAGAGCGGTGTGACCTGTCTCGCCTGTGCTGCTTGTTTGCAGAGCAGTGGCGGAGAGGGGCGGCAGGATGAATGTGGGCACAGCACACAGCGAGGTGAACCCCAACACGCGGGTGATGAACAGCCGTGGCATCTGGCTCTCCTACGTGCTGGCCATTGGGCTTCTCCATGCTGTGCTGCTAAGCATCCCCTTCGTGAGTGTCCCTGTCGTCTGGACCCTTACCAATCTCATCCACAACATGGTGAGAACGTGCCTGCTGCCTGCCCCTGACCGTGCGCGCTGCTCTTTGGCGGGGGTGGGAGGGGTGGAGGGGTGGATTGAGGAGCAGGAGGAGCCTGCTAGACGTGGGCCAGAGGTCAGGGGGACTTACTGACAACTTCTGTCACCAGAGCCCAGGCCCAGCCCTTAGCCTTCTGCCTCACTCCCCCTTCTGGGTTCCAGCCCTGTGCATGCCTATAAGAGTCATCAAATCTGCAGATTTGTTCACATCTCCAGGATGGGGTGGCTTGTGGGCCTAGGAGATGGGCCACTGAGAGCTGAACAAAGGGCTCCAGAATGTTCCCAGGACCCAGGAGTCCTGGTACAGACACGCCCCTTTCCCAGGTTAGGATCTTATCCTTCTCTGCTCCCTCATCACCTGCTAGTTTGTACCTTTTGGTGGGCAAGCAGGGGTCTTGTTCCTTCCCATCAGCTTGCCCCTCCCTGCTGGCATAGGAAGACTATGACTGGGTCAGAGGGGCCGCACTTCTGTGCCCGTTCTGTGGCTGATTCCTCCTGGGTGTTCCCCTCCTGCCTGGACTGCTCGCTCCCTCAGGGGGATCCCCTTGTTCTCCTTCCAGGCTCCCTGCTGCTCTGTCCTGGCCTCCAGCTCATATCCCCCTGCCCAGCAGAGGGAGACTCCAGATTACCTGGAGCTGCTTCTGTCTGTGACTGGTGCAGGAGCTGAGCTGGAAGGTCTTTGCCCTTTGTATCCTCTAACAAAGACCCCTTCTTCCAGGGCATGTACATTTTCCTGCACACGGTGAAGGGGACACCCTTTGAGACTCCGGACCAGGGCAAGGCGAGGTTGCTAACCCACTGGGAACAGATGGACTATGGGGTCCAGTTCACAGCCTCTCGGAAGTTCCTGACCATCACACCCATTGTTCTGTGAGCACCTTGGCTAGAGGAGCACACCAGCAGGCAGGGCAAGGCCTGGGGTACCCTGGGGCCCAGCCAGGCTTATTAAACCCCTCCTCGGCTCAGTTCTAGGGACGAACAGAGGAAGAGAAGTTGGAGTATCCCGGGTCTTACATTGTGCTCAAGCCCTGGGTCTCCATGGCCCTGTCTCTCCTTAATTGGAGTTTCCTTCCTTCTAATGAGATAGGCCTATAGGCCTGGGGTGAAGCAGGGGTCTGGGCTGGGAGGGGCCTCTTCAGTCTGGGAGATTTTGCCATCCTACTTCTGGTTTGGGGACCTCTCCTACAAATCCTCGACTGTCAGGATTCTGCCTCTCCCAGCCCAGGGTGTGAGGGAGGAAGGGGTCCTCCAAGCAGTCTTTTATATCTCTCCCCTACCTTCCCCTCCCAGGTACTTCCTCACCAGCTTCTACACCAAGTACGACCAGATCCATTTCATCCTCAACACTGTGTCCCTGATGAGTGTGCTCATCCCCAAGCTGCCCCAGCTCCATGGAGTCCGGATTTTTGGAATCAATAAGTACTGAGGGTGCAGCCCCTTCCCCTGCCCAGGATGGCTGGGGAAGGGTAGAAGGCCTGTGCTGTGATACTGAAGACAGAAGGAGCCTCTGGACACTGCCAGAGATTTGGGTTGAGCCTCTGGGCCTAGTTTACCCCCTTGCTTCCCCCAGTAGCCGACTTGGAGTAGCTTGTAGTGGCGTTGGGGTGAGCCCTTTGCGGCTCTGACCCCTTCCGATTTTTTTGATCTTTTCCTTTTGCCTTTTGAATAGAGAATCCATGGGGGTGGTCATGGAATGGGCTGGGCTCCTGGGCTGAACACAACCTGTGAGGTTGGGACAGGAGGCCAGGGAAAAACCCCTGTTCACTTGTTTACCCTCAGGTGGCCAAAGCACTTTAACCCCGCAAGGGGAGCGGAGGGACGGTACAGCTTCTGGGTTGCTTCACTTTAATTCTTAAGTCTTTCGGGTGCTACTCAGTGTGTGCTTGTATGTATGAAATCAAGTGTATGACGGGGCCTCGCCGCTGTGGGTGGAGAGCTGTCCAATACAGGTCTTGGGCTTTTGGCAGCTCTCCTACAACCCCCCTGGGTACTGGGTGGGAGTGGGGAGGGTAAGGAGAGGGAAGGTGGGGTGGGTGTGGATGGCCTGGTCCCAGAGGTGAGGGGGCCAGGGCTGCTGCCATCTGGTCCTGCTGGAGGTTGTGGAGCAGGGGGATAGTGAGTTGACACTTAGAAGAATGGGGCCGAATGGCAGCAGAGGAGTAGTGGGAGGGAGGGAAGGAGGGAGGGCTGAGGAGAGAAGCTAGGCCCAGCCTCGTCCTTTGGGTTGTGAGTAGGGAGGAGAGCAGGCTTGGGGGGTTAATTTGCCCACAGAATGGTGATGGTAATAGGGAAGGGAGGCTACTGTGGTTTTGAAACTCCTGGGTTGGCATGAGGGGGTGGACGTGGGTGGAAGAGGTCCATGAGTCATCCAAGCACAGGTCCAATCTGACAGCTGTCTCAGTGGCGTGAGGGGCGGGGGGAAGCTGCAGCAGAGATGATGGGTGGTGGGGCCCTCCACAGCCCCTCCCCTCCATAACCTCCTCCTGCAGACTGGTGCTGGGACAGGCCTCTCATGTGGCATGCATGTGTGGGGATATGAGGCCACCCCCATGGGGTTGGTGGGCTCGAGCAGGGCAGTGGAAGTAGCAAGGAGTGGCCTGCAGGTGCAGTCACCTTGGCCTGAGAAGAGAGCTGGGGCTGGAGCCTGGGCCTGAGCATGGGCTGGAGAGAAGCCGCTGTATCCACCCCAGTCCAACTAGGGCAGTGTTAACTTTTGAAAAAATGTGGATGCCTGTGCTCTCTCCCAGCAGCCTGAGGGAGCAGGGGAGGTCACCGGCCCTGTTTGCTGCCTCCTGCTCCTCCACCTCCCACCCCGTGTATAATAGGGAACTTTCACCTCAAAATCTTTCTAAGCAAAGTGTGAATAGGATTTTTACTCCCTTTGTACAGTATTCTGAGAAATGCAAATAAAGGGCAATGTGTCCCTGTTTCCCCATGTCTGGCCTCTGCTTCCTGGAAGGCCCTGGGGGAGGGGCAGGGGTATGGGCAGTGGCGGGGGCCGCAGTTTGACCCTCTGCCTGGAAAGTGGGAAGGACTTTGGGACTGTTGTTCTTCCTGTTGCCCCCAGCAAGGAAAGCCCAAGGGGGCTGTGAGGGAGCTGGTGGAGGCAGCAGCAAGTTGGAGCAGAATCCCGCTCTGCTGGTCCCTTTGCCAGGCTGTTCCTCTGGACTTCACAGGCTGGCATGTAGAGTCCTGTGCCATGGCTAAGGAAGGGGTCAGTCCAGCAATGGTTCACAAATAGAGCCAGGGATCCCAGTCCTTCCCTCTGAATCCCCCATCCCTTCCTCAGCTCCTCACTTCTCTTCGCAGTCGCTTCTGCCCTGGGAGGGCTGTATTTCCTTCTAGCCTTTCCGTCCAGAGGAATTTTCATGCTTCCTTTTCCCACCATAAGCAGGAGTGGAAGGGGAAGAGGCTCACATGGCCAGGAGAGAGAGGAGTTCTATAGTGGAGGAATCCTTATCTCCCAAAGACACTGGCCTTTCAGCATGTTCTGTGCGATATCATTCCCAGGACAGGTACAAAGGTCCAGGTGGAAGGGAGGAGCTGTCCCCAGCAGCCTGGTCTCCTCTTGCTCTCATCCAGCATGACAACATCCTTGGAATGGTGTCAGGCAGTGTGGGATCTTTGCCAAAGTCTTGCCACCGCCCCCCTCCCCGCCGAGTGGGGCTCACATAGTATTGGGAGGAGAAATGCAGCCACTGGGCTCAGTCCTGGGGATTGGGGTGCCCTGGTTGCTTCCACAGGCCTGCAAGGGTACAGTCAGGGTGAGGTGGTAGGGCACATCAACAACAAGCTGGGTTCAGATCCCTGCTCTGCTACTTACTAGCTGTGTGGCTTCGTCAAGTTATTTCTCTGAGTTTCAGTTTCTTCCTCTGTTGTATAAGGATAATGCCTTTTAGGGCTGTGGTGAGCATTAGCACAGTGCCTGGCATGTAATAAATACTTAATACATGGAAGCCATATTATTATAATTGTTACCACCACCAACGTCATCTCCTTAAATGCCTGAGGCATTCAGTGGCCAGGAGACAGGTGGTTATCTCTGAGGGAGGATTGAGGGGTGGGGCCAGAGATCTCCCTGGAGAAGGAGGTGGGTGGAGAGGGTAGGTGGCATCCAGATAAGGAGGGTTGGCATCTCCTTGAGAAGGGTACATGGGAGCATGTGGCTGAGTCCTTACAGGCCCAGCCTGTTCCTGACAGGTGTTAGCTGCTGCTGCTCTGAGTCTTCCTTGTTGCCCACCATTGTGCCACCATTGTTGGGGCATTGACTTGGAACCCATCTATATTCCATTTCTCTAGTCCAAACTCAGTGGATTGCCTGGTCCCAGTGTGCCTTGCTTTGCACCATTCCCTCGCCCAAGCTCACCTGGAATATATGTCAGGATCTCCCATCCACTCCTGGGGTCCTTGAGAAAGTCTGGGGTTCTGCCTTATCTGCCTCCAGCTCAGTCGTAGTGTGGCTTAGCTAAAGGCCCGCACAGCCCTGCCTAGCATTCCAAGAAGTGCTCCGCCTGGAGAACTTTAAATTTCGTTATTATAGCTTGCTGAGACCGAGAGGCAAGGAATGGTGCAGAGACCCTACAACCTCTGTATTAGTCTGTTTCTGTTGCTTATAATAAAATACTTGGAATTGGGTAATTTACAAAGAAAATGAAATTTATTGCTTACAGTTTCTGAGGCTGGGAAGTCCACAGTCCATCTGGTGGAGGCGACAGTGACCCAGGGGTCTCACATTGCAAGATGGTGGAAGCAGAGAGAAAAAGACAGACTCTCCTTTTAAAGCCCTCTGAACTAGGGTCAGCCCGTGGCTCACTTGGGAGAGCGTGGTGCTGACAACACCAAGTCAAGGGTTAAGATCCCCTTACCAGTCATCTTTAAAATAAATAAATAAAGGCCTCAGAACCACTCACCTGTACACCATTTTTAATCCATTCATTACTGCACGGTCCTACAATCCAATCACTTCTTCAAGGCTCCACCTTTAATTACCATAATAGGATTTCCCACCCTCTACAGTCACAGTGGTGGCTAAGTTTCTAATACATAAAACTTGGAGAACACAATTCAAACTTCAATGAGTTTTGCAGGGACATAATTCAATCCACTACAACTTCCATTTCTGGTGAGCAGTTGAGGACAGACAGGAGGTGGGTGGCCTGCAGTCCCTCGGCACTGTCTTTCCAGAAACAGAATTACTAGGTTGGGAGTGAGTTGAGAGTTGGCCACCATGATGGGGGGTAGGGACAGAGAAGGAAGGAGAAGGTGGGTAGGTACCTGGGCCAGGCAGAAGGGACTTAGGGGAAGGTGGCCAGAGACAGGGTAGAGACATGAATCCCATGAAGCTGTTGTTTCCTTCTGAGGCTGACTTACCAACTATCTCATTGAGAAATGATTAGTAGGGAGGCACCCATCTAACTGCCTTGCAGAATACAGCAAGGGAGGGAGGCCCAGGAATCAGAGCCAAGGGAAGAAATCACCAGTTGGGGTTGGTAATATGAGGTCTGGCAGCCATGCCTCTCATCCTTCCCTTGTTCCTCTGTTCATCAACATTGGTGACAGGCTGGCAGGGGCTTGGTAGGCCTGCCTTCCTGCCCCTCAGGCCCCTTGGAACAAGGGGGCAGCTCTGCTGTGGGAGATGTAGAAAGTGGGTCTCACTTTACCTACGAGGGGCAATTACTGCTCTTTCTTTCCTCCAAGGAGGTTCCATGATGGGTAGAGGAGAACCTGGGATCTGGGATGTTTACCCTTTTCTTACTGTGTCATGGCTGCCTCACACTTCACCATATCTTATAATAAGAAAAAATAACATGAATGGCAAGCCATTCCAGGTCCTGGTCATCCTGGAACCTTGGGTTCTTCTTTGACCCCAGGCTGCCGAGGCTAGAAGATTTAAAAACCTGGACCAATATCCTCCTCCCCCAAACCAAAGTTGGCTTCCTTTTCTCAGCTGGTCCAGGCATAATGCCCAGCGTGTTTGAGGAAATCATGAGTTGAGGTCTGAGAGATGGATGCTGGAGGGGCTATGATTGCTGTCAAAAGCACTGCTGATGTTGTTAGATTCCACTGCTTCTGTCTGATGAAGGAGAACAGAAGTTTCTTGAGATGCCAGTACTACAGGACAGACCTCACCCTGAAGGACATGCTGGAGAGAGAGGAGGGTGAAGAGCTGTTTGATGAACTGGATTTGATGAGGTGGATGAGAGAGGGCTAGCCAGGAGACCTTGCCCGTTTCTACTCCATCCAAGTCTCAACTCCCCATTGCCATCAACCTAGTCAACCAATCAATGAGAAACTGGAATTTGCACATACACATCTGCACACCTCAGTTTAAGAAAAAGCACAGCACTGGGCCGGCCCGTGGCTCACTCGGGAGAGTGCGGTGCTGATAACAATTCGGATCCTAAATAGGGATGGCCGGTTAGCTCACTGGCTGAGCGTGGTGCTGATAACACCAAGGCCCCGGGTTCGGATCCTATATAGGGATGGCCGGTTTGCTCACTGGCTGAGCGTGGTGCTGATAACACCAAGGCCCCGGGTTCGGATCCTATATAGGGATGGCCGGTTTGCTCACTGGCTGAGCGTGGTGCTGATAACACCAAGGCCCCGGGTTCGGATCCTATATAGGTTTAAAAAAAAAAAAAAAAAAAAAAGAACACAGAAGAGCTGCATAAGGGGAGGAAAGTGGAGGAAGTGGAGACATTTATATTGGAAACTTCCTAAATAGTCTTCCTTTCCCATTTTTTTCCTTTATAAATAATTTGCTTATAAGTTAGCTGAATTCTTTCATGTGTTATATGCTTATCATTTAAATGGATATGTAAGGGCCGGTGGGGCACGTGTAAGTCCAGAAGAAAATTTGACTCCAGTGGACTGTACCCTTCTCCTTCCAGGTGAAAGGCTGAGTTTTTAGTTCTGGACAATGTGGATTCAAAGGGAGAGTTGATAGTGAAATTACCCAAAGAAATAACCATTGCAGGCAGCCTCCAGGGGTCCCACAAATAGAAAATCAAGATATTGGAGAAATGGATATGCCAGCAATATCTGGATACCCTTGAGAACAGGTGAGGCTGGAGCAGGGCAGCAGTGGGGAGGGAGGGGAGAGAAGCCCATCTTGGGCACCAAGGGCATTGGGGTTGGGGCACTTGGCTGGCACAGTCTCGCACCTTCTACTCTCCCAACCCACTCCTTTACTCAAGCACATCTTCCTCCTCTCTACCTTCAGAATCTTTCTCATTTGTCCAGGAGCAGCCTCTAGGAAGCCTTCGTCTGGTGCCCCTAATTCACTCACATCCCTGCTCTCCTCCATGGTGATTAATTACTCGGCTTGAACAAACCTGCTGCTTTCAAGAAGCTTCTCTCCTCTGCTCACTTATTTGGAGTTGCTGTTTCACTCTGCCTTGCGGGTAAGTCAGTGGTTTCCTTGTCCCTCCTCCCCACTGGACTGGGAGCAACTTGTGACAAGGGACTGACTTTACTAACCTCTCTGAATTGACCCCCAGCACACCATAGGTACTTAGTAAAAGGGAGCTGAAGTAAAGCACAATGAAGTCAAAGAACCCGTTTGTAGGGAAAGTAAAGGAAAATGGTCAGAGCCCCTCACATGTTCAGAATCTTGCCAAGCATTTGATGTAAATATGCACGTGTGCCCAGGTATTCCTTGGTTATTGTCTAATGTAATTGCTCATGTGCACCAAGGTGTCCTAAGTGTAAAGGACAAGTGGCTCTGATCCATGTCACCCCCCACTCCTGTGATGCCCCCAGGGGGCCATAGGGAGGCCGCTATTGCTGCTGGAGGCTGTTGCTGCCAGTGCCCCAGGATGCCCCGAGAGGCCACTGCTGCTGCTGCTAGTGTTGAAGGCTGAGCTTGTGTCATCTGCCAATGACTCCCAGGATCTTTCCCAATTATGTAGCGTGGAACTGCGTGTGAGGAGTCTC